CCACGAGCCCAAGGTATTCAAACCCGATTAGCTCTGATACCAAGTTGTCACGCCCCACTTTTTATTATCCGAATAACATTATCATATCCATTAACATAAATCCATTTCCATTAAGAACAAGCAGAACTATACATACATTACCTCCATAAACAAATAAAAATCTTTTTAATCGTACATATATGGAATGCAACAGAAATTGCATTTAAAGAAAATGCTCGTAGGCTTACATCTTTACATTAAAAGTAAGGATTTAACCCTTTTACAACAATGGCGTTCCACCAACAAGTATAGGCCCCGTGGCCAACAATTAAGGAAGATCACCGATCTTGAATAATCTCTAAACTTGCACCTAAAAAATGATTAGCAATGTGGGATGAACATAAAGTTCAGTAGAGATCCCAACATGATCCTAAACAATAACAACGTACAAATTTCTATGATCATGAATGCACCATAATGTACAATATAAATAATGTGACAGTTTAATATTCAAAATATACTTATGTAAGTACATTTTCTCCAAAAACATGCATTTGAACACTACAAGGTGTAAAACCATTTGTTTTCTTTCCAATTATCCAGCTTAGTTCAAAAAATACTTCTCCACAATGCAACCTTGGTTATTTAAACCTCCACGTAAATGTAAAAGAATTCTATCTCCACATTTATTTTGAAAGCATGTTCATAGATACAAGTCATAACCCAATCCTATAACTCAATAATCCACTACACACACTTATGCAACAACACATCTACTATCTTCCTTGTCCATAGGCCAAAGGGCAATGAACACCCATAACAAAAACACCAAGAAACATATATTTCTAAATATAATTAATTGAACATAATACATATTTCCATTTCCATAGGCCTACATCGCAAATGGCAAATGATACAATCCACATAGCACTAATGCTTTATCGGTCTCACCCGAAGAGGAACGACCCCAAGGTCACACTTTACTGGGCGCAAACCGGAAGAAAAAGGAACCTATCTCAAGCCACTACACTTTACTGGCCTCCCGAAGAAAAATAGATCTCAATTTCACACTTTATCGAGCGCATACCAGAAGGAAGATGAACCTCTAGTAAGGCACCATGCTTTACCGGCTTAACTGGAGAGAAATAGACCTCCCAAACAACATTCAAGCAATAACACAACGTGCTAAACTACATAAATACCGTACAAGTTTAAAACATACACATAATTTATTCAACAACAACAATGTCACCCTCCACCGATGACCAAAAACAAAATCTCTAAACAGATAAATAAATGACTCTCATGAATTAGATTCGCAATTTCAAAACATCGACATTACAAATAGCAATATTCCCATTTCATTTCATAAAAGAGTTAAGACTCATTGTTTTATGTTCAAAAACCAAATTGGTTATTCCAAACCCTCAACATTTCCAAACCATAGCTAAGCTTCTTCTTATTTAACAAAAATCCCATTTTTAGTAACCAAGCATTAATTCAATCCCCTAAAGCATTTGTTCAATCTCATAACTCATAACCCAATTATTACCTAACTTTACCCCCTTTTGTTTATTAATTCTTAATAATAAATTAGGGCTTTTCACCACAATCAACATAGACATGATTAACTACCTCTCAACATACCAAATCAACCATCAATCATACAATTCTAACTCCTAAAACTCAAACCCCAAATCTCCTTTCATGCTTTTAGAAAATCTCTTAACAAACATATTTTTAAATGCAATAAAAAAAAATACCACATGTCTATCTATAAAGAGTTATTGAAGAGGAGCAAAAGAATCCATACCTCTTGAAGCGAAGACGAGACAATCCAAAAATCATTGGCGACGAAACGACAACCCGCTCAAATTAAATAGAAGCCCTCGCTGAGCCCTACATTTTCATATGGAACTAAGGGTCAAAGATGTTTAGAAATAGATGAAATCAAATTTAAAAAGCTAAAAAATCAAAAATGGTGGAAAGAGAGAGAAGAGAGAGTGAAAAGTGAAGAGATTTGACCCAAAAAGTGACTTTTAAAGATATAATTCTAGACAGACCGCTAGAGTGGTCAAAAGTGCGCTCGAGCAGTTAATCGAAACTTCCAGTATCTCAGGCAATTTTGAAAAACAGGGTTAGAAGGGTCTATGGATCGCTCGAGCGGTGAAAGTTGCGTTCAAGCAAAATATGCATACAGCATAGATTCACAAACTTCAAAGAGGCATATTTCTCTCGACCGGACTCCGTTTAGGGTCGTTCTTGTATCCAAATTGAAGCCCCAGAAGTAAGCTTTCCAATGGTTTTTGCCTTACATCAAGATTCAAAGTATGGAGAGAGAAAATGATAAAAGAGTGAAGACTACTCAACAACAACTATTCGAATTTAGAGTTTTTGATCTAATCTTGCTCAACCACTATGGCAACACCTCAACTAAGGCTCAAATATCGACTAAGAAGGTTCTCAATCATGATAATCATAGAGTCCAATATAATTCCATTATACCAAGAAGCACAGAGTGCTATAGTACACCCTCATCACCTTCCAGTACCATCACCCTACAACTGTAATACCTCGTCACACATCAGAAGTTTGCATGGGTAATCTTGGGCATATAAAGCACCACTGCTTTGCTACTAAGTAACTTGAACTTAAGCTTTTGGGTCATGTTGGTAAACCCACAGGTTTTTGTGCTAACAAGTAGTGGGGCGTTATAAAGAGTATTAGAGTCGACCCATGCACACTACCATGTGGGTGACTTATTCTGGGCTGGCCACGAGCTTGTTATGGTATTCTGATTGATTATGAACCCTTATGACAATTTATAAGTGGAGGAGTTTGTAAACCCCATCCCACATTGGAAGTTTGCATGGGTGATTTTGGGCATATAAAGCACCATTATTTTGACTAAGTAACTTGGGCTTAAGATTTTGGGTCATTTTGATAAACCCACAAGTTATTTGGGCCAGCAAGTAGTGGGGTGTTACAACTACTACTCATTACTATCATTGCCACCCCCTCTTCTCCCATTCCCTAATACCCTCTTCGGCCATAACCTCTCTTTAAACTTCATAATTCAAGTATGTTTTGTTTGATTTTTAATAAATTCTTTACTTGTTGTATAAAATATTTATTTAATATTTAATTAGTTTTGTAGTTGTTAGAAATCTATTTAAAAGTGATTTGGTTTGATGTTTAAGTGGATTTGTTATTTGTTTTTGTTTTGAGAGGAGCCTCCTTAACCTTAAGTGGCCAAAGTAAGAAGTTTGAGTTTCTTTGCTAGCCTTTGAATTGAAATTTTGTTTAAAACTCTATTTAGACTTCCAATGTCCAACAAATTTAAATTAAAATAATGCTTATGTGGCTAAACAAACTTGAAATGTTTCAATTTTTACATTTAGACAAACATAATTTGTTCAATTTTTAGGCATTGAGCCAAAAAAATCGGAACAATTTAAGTTTGTTTAGATGCAAAAGTCCGAATAAATCAATTTTGATAGACCACAAAAGTCTAAATATTCTAAATTTGTCAAATCTATAAATGAAACATTTCTAAATAGAGAGGTTGAGAAAGGAGGGGAGGCATTGGGGAATGACCGGAAAGGGCTGGAGGGTGACAGGGTGGGAAATTGGAGTATGGGGGTGGCAGCTAGAAGTGTAGGAGGATGCTGATGGCGATGGTAATCAGAGCTAAAGATAAAAATTAACTTATCCTGTCGAGTAATTTTAGTTTGAGGTATGACCCTAAAAAAAAATATATATGTCAAAATTGGGATGTCCAATGATAACATGGGGTGCATTTATAAGCCCCCTTTCAAAACATGTTTTGAGTTGTGTGCTTTATATATAATTGGAATACTCTCAAATTCAAATCTAGGCTTGAGTAACGAATAGATGTGTAGTTAGAACACGAAAATGTATAATAACTTACACCAAATTAAATCATACCCCATAATGCAAATATAGTCTAAGAAGGAAGAGATAAATTCACACCAAATTAAACTATTTCCTGGAAAAAAATCTTATAGATAATCTTATCTGTGCACAAAAAGATCCTGGTTCACCAACTTGTGTGCTACTCGGTAACTACCAACCTACCTCCATTGTTCTTTGTAAAACAATTATTTGAGATTATGCACTTCACTAAGGATAGGTACATCGAATTTTTTTGAGAAAAGTGCACATAACATAATGCAATGTTGAATGCATCACGCTCTGTTTGCTTCCACCATGCATATTTATGACACTCTTCATATCAATCTCTTTTTATTTTTTCAATAATATTATAATAACCAAAAAAAAAAAAAAAACATATAAACAATTTGTACAAAATAATATAACTACATTATGGGCCTATCATTTTAAAGTAAGTAAAGAACTCATCTAGATGGCTGTTAATTGTAAAAATATCAGTCATCAAATCAGCCAATTTTCTATTGTAAGATAAGAATAGCTTCTTCTTATTTTTTTTTATTTTTTTACAAATGCACTCGAGAAACACATCATCCAACTCAAGGAGGTGGATATCAATGAACAATTTTTAGAATTATAGTCCAATTTAGCGTTTGAATATCCAAGGCTATGGGGTCCCTTCATTAAACAAAAAGCAAAAGAAAGTGAAGAAAAACCTTAATATTTTATGACAGAAAAATTATATTTATCATTGGATATATTTTACTTATGTGTATCTATCTACACAATAAATTGCATGTGTGTGTATGTAATACTTAACATATTTAAAAAATAATAAGACCCACCATAACACAAGAAAAACCACCTAAGGTAAATTCTAATGAAATATTTTAATGATATATAACAGCTGCTTTGGCATATGTTTCAAAGATTTCTAACCAACATCAAATGTAGCCTTAAAAACCTAGTTGACAATCTTAGGTCAAGTTCCATATGTTTTTATGGGAATGACAAACCAAGTTAGGCCAAGTTCCATCTCCCAATACCAATCCTTGAAAATTCATGTACATTGTGTTAGATTTGAAAAGAGATTCGAGAACCAAGAAAGATGAAGTGAATGAAATATAAACTAAAATTGTCATTTTTCTTTTCTGTTTTTTTTTCACCACAAATCCAAGATCCGTATAGCCCTAGAGATAACATTTGACATGAGCAATAGAAATTTCAATAATGACATTAGAGGCTATAGGCATCTATAGAAAGCAGCAATCTACGTCTATCACACTGTATGTGCTGTTATCTAACCTCTGATTCAACTAGAAGATTGTAATAACCTATACATATAACACTTCACACATTTCCATTTCCAATCTGTATTTACATCACACAATCTTCATCACGTCAAATAAGACCGACGATACTAGCCCCAACTAATGTTTTACCCATTGATGGAGGAACAAGGGTATTACATGGTTGCAATCGCAATTCCCTATAGTTAGTTACTCTTTGCTGCCAGAGGAGCGTTCCTTCCTCTGCCCACCAAGAATACGTGAGATCTGTAGACCTCTGCTAAACGCTTGATTGAAAAGCATCCGTGTTTGGAATTCTGAAACAAATGGGAACCAAGCCAACAATGCAACCGGGGTGAATAGAAGCAAGCCCATGAGTATCTCATAACTACGAGCAAGTGTCAGAACTGATCCCCAGATATGAGCTCGTTGAACCAGAGGCTTTGAAGCTTGCGCAATCTTCCAGGGAGGAAAAGATGAGTAAAAATTGACAAGAATGTCCGAAGACGTGTGTTAAATAAGGGAATCAAACAAGCGAACGGTACAAAATAAGGAGGGTTAATTACATATTTAATCCCCAAAGTATGTTGTTTGTGTCTTTTCGGTTTCCAATGTTTAAATTGTGTCAATTTAATCCCAAATATATAATAAATAAATAAATAAAAATGATTTAATTTGTTCCCCTAACCCTAACTAAATCAGTAGACGCTGTTAAAGTCCGGAATAAATATGAAAACTCACTTAAAAAATTACACTTATAATTCCTAAAATATGTGATCTGTGACTCACTTAAAAAACTACACGGAAAATGCTATAGGTCCCAAATTTTCTATCAAATCACACCCATGTGAGACATTTGGTTATTCATCTGGTAGAAAATTTTGTATTCCTAGCATTACTCTTTTTAGTTCCTAAAATATGTGATGGGTGTCATTTTGGTAAAAAAAATTACACATTTACCCCTAGCTGTAATCGCATCTATTGATGAAATTAGGTTGGGGACCAAACGAAAAAACTTTTTTATACATTGGGAACTAAATTGACAGAATTTAAATATTGAGAACTAAAATGACAACTTTCATACTTGAGAACTAAAATATAATTACCCTAAAAGGAAAAAGAGGAAAAGGGAGAGGTACAAAGAAGCAGGAACTCACCAGAAGCAACCCCCATCCTGTTGGCATGAAAGCAAGAATGCATATTATGATGTCCTCAATAGTCATGTGGAGAAGCACTATTAAAAGAATTAGAGTAGTAACAAATGTCAGGAAGATGAGGCCCTTCATCAATCGATAAGCAAGCTGGTGCCTTGCACTAAATCTTTGCCTTCCAGAAGACACACCCTGCAAAATTTGAAAGGGAGTAAAGAAAAACATTAATTTATCTATTACAAGATTAAAATAAAGAAGGATCAAACAACTACAATATATTGGAAGTTCTAACATGTGCGATGGTATATAGACATAATGCACATATAAAGTAAGCTTATGTATTCTGAAATAGCAATAAAAATCCAAAAATTAAAACTGCCTTATGGAGGAATGCAAATAAAATAATACACAATGCAGAGCAAAATCTAAAAGCAGCAACCTAGCAATTCATGTTACATAACATAATGCAATGTTGAATGCATCACGCTCTCTCCTTTTGTAAAAACTATTCTTATTGTTTCAATAAATCATCTCATGACAGCATGTCCATTGCCTCTTGATTTTGAGTCCAATTGATAGAAACTATATTATTCTTTGTTTGTGATTCTTTCACGCTTATTTTTCCAAAATACCATCAATTTTGAAGCAATTTTGTAAGCTGGTTCCCACGACTACTGTCTAGCATGAGATACCACCATGCAACCAAGTGTAGCTATGATGAGATTTAAGGCACGGTTGTTTTATGTTCATTTTTCAAGGAAAAGATTTCCAAAGCATCAACAAGAGCCATAAGAAAGCCCATTGATGCTTCTTTTTTTTCACAATTTTAACCTACTAGATAGCCTCAAATATTGTATTAAGGGAAGAATATCAAAGAACTTTCTCACACATGAAGAACTCAATGCCAAAATAAAACTAGGTGAATGAAGAATTTTACAACTCACCTTTATCAAAACCAATACAAGAAAGATCACAAGCCATGATATACAATAAACCTGTAGATCCAAGGAAAAATAAGTCAATCTTATAGCCAGTCATGAGAACAGGATTTTTTTTTTTTCTTCAAATGAATGTATTAAGTAATATGTGGACAACCAAGTACCAGAATGCTTTGAGTGTTCTTCGTAGGGGTCAGGTGATATACAAGTCCATACTGAAAGATGAAAAAGCGCAAGGACATCAAAATCTCAGTAATAATACCACGTGCCCCAGAGTAACGAAGATGCTCTTGTTCCTTTTCCCACCATGACTCCCAGCTTTTTTCAGGAGGCACACCAATTCCTCCACGGTTGTTTATCCACTTATTCCAATCTGTCCAGTCGTCAACAATTTTTTGCCACTCAAAGCCTGAGGGATTGAAGAGGAAGGGAGCAAAAAGCCATGTTCCCACCATGAACCATATTGATATAGTGATCAGTATGAATGGAACTACACCTCTATACGCTTGACCAAATATTTGATACACAAGAAGCAGAATCATCAATTCAATTCCCTTGACAAAATGACTCCGGGAGTACAGCCTATAGTTGTCAGCAAACTTTTCATGGAACACAACAAAGCCACGACCTGTACCTCTGTATTGTGCACCGCCATGAAGCAAAGTTCTTCCATAGTAATGGGTCTTTGTACCAAGAGAAAATGTAAAAAATACAGAAGCCAACTGTAGTTGCATCAGTATGAAATCACTCAACGCATTCCTGAAACCCCTCTCAAGGCCTATTTCCATCATCATGGGCAATGCCATCAAAAATCCCATTTGCACAATAGACTGTGAAGCAAGAGCTACTTGAAGAGGCTTGTTGTCCCGAATAGCTGGTTGGGTAATCAATCCTTGTTCAAGTCCACTAAGAACGAGATAAAGTCGACCATAAAGGAACACATAGACAGTAAGCACAGATATCTGCCAAAGCAGAACCATAGTGATCAGACAATAATGGGAGATCATAAAAGAATGGAGTAACAAGAGTATGGTTCATATTATACCAAGGTGCTCCAATAGAAGCCCACAGTTGTGAAATAACATGACAACATTCGGAAGAAATCAAACCGATGGCCAAGTCTGTATATGTCACGACTCATTGTCTGTTCACCATTGCCATTGGCTATCTTTGCCTCAAACAGCGAGATCTGATTGAGGCCCACATCCCTCCCTTTACCAACTTGTATGTATTCATGAAGAGTAACATTGCCTCCACGTAGCGTAGAATTGAAACCTGCACATTATGGAGTTAAGGATAAGATGCATGGTGAAGCAGAAACCATGTTTATAAAATTAAAACAAAGTCCTAAAGCAATGCAATGCCTGCAAATATATCTTCGCTTAGGTTGATGGTTTTGGAAGCTTTGCTGACACCCCCTCTGGTCAGATGAAAGAGTCTATCAAACACATCTGGATGGCCATAGTGGAAGCGAACCCTAAATGAGCAGAAAGAAAGAGAGTTATGAACATTTAGTGCATCAAACGTCAATGAACAAAGTATACAACCACAATATAAAAAACTCAACAAAACTGAGTAATAAAACAATATGAACCTAGTAATAATAAAAAAGAGGATTAATTTTTTTTTTATGTTGTCTTAGAAAAATGTATATTGCTAACATTCATGTCAATTACTTAGTCAAACTCATTTCTCCTTTTGTGTCATTCGGTTCAATCCCATGCCATATTTATTCTTGAACATAATTAGACACCATCATTCATCACCACATCCAAGGCCATCTCCAACGTTGCACCTATTCTTTCATCAAATTTAGATTTGATGAAAAAAAGCGTCTTTTACTGCTCCAATCATTTCACCAAACAAGTATCAAATCGAGGATGTGTTAAATCTTTCACCAAATTGAGGATGGCTAGGAGCTTTCATCAATTCATTGTTCATAGCCGTTGGAGCTGCAGTTCATTTTCACCACCGGACGACTGGCCGGATGTCTGGCAGGTTGTACCCCCGAATGACCGCCTCCTTGCAAAAATTTGTGAAAAAATTACACCAGCCGGTCGACTGGTAGTTTGATGAAATTCCAAATTGCTCAGATGAAGCTTTTACTCAAATTTGATGAAAAAAAAAGGTTAATGTTGGAGATGCTCTAAGATTCATTTATTTAGTAAATTATTAGAATTCCCAATTCCAAACTTGTATTTTATATTCCTTGCACACTAATTTTCATAACACATTGCAGCTGTTTAATAATGTTTACAGTTTACAAAAAATTAAACATACTTAAATTAATTTTTGGAAAAATCAAAAACAAAAAACATACTTGGTACCCACATGTATTTTAAAATTGTATTTTAAAGATGGTTGCTAGTGGGAGGTGGTGGCTGAAGGTGGTTGCCAACGGCTAGAGGTGGTGGTTGCCAATGACCAAAGGTTATCGTCAGCCCTAGGAGGTGCAGGTTGGAGTTGGTTGCCAGGGGAGGTCGCCAACGACGGTAGACAGATGTGGTGTCCGGTACTAGTGATGAGCGGTGGATGGTGGGGTTAGGAGAGAGTGGAAGGAAAGAAATTTATTTTCTAAATTAATGAAACAAACTTGTTTTTGGTTACGAGTAAATTTTGTAAATTATTTACAATTTTTTAAAAATAAAAATAGACACCAAACAAGTTTATGTCTATAGTTTTCAAATTTTTTTTGTAGTTCATTTTTTTGTAAACATAACCAAAAGACTATAAATAGGAATGTAACCCAAAGATTGATTACGTCATTAAATTTATTTATTTATTATTGTTATTACTATAAAAGACCTTGACAAAGTTGTAACTAATGACACCTAGCCCAAGGGACACTCTGTCTTATGTGAGTTCTAATGTCGATTCTCATGGTGCCGAGTCGGGTTTAGAAGAAGATGTGGATGATTCTTTGACATCTGAACCAAAAAAAAATTCAATAATAAAATTCAGATATTATTAAAAAGCATCAAGGTGGTACAAAGAATACAAAACTAAAGCCCACAAAAGGCCAAAGACTAAGAAATCATATCATCCACAAAATCTACAAAGGCCAACACATTCGGATCCACCGACATCATAACCGAACTATGAAGAACCAGAAAAAGCCTATTTTCCAACTAAGACACCGAATGAGAAATCACCTAAAATGTTTATCTATTGCGCTCCAACCAAATCAGCCACATTAAGCACTAAGCAACATGCAACCACGCCTTTCGCCTTACGTCTTTGCCTTCGAACTCTCACCCCCCTCCAACTCTGAAGCACTTCCACCACTGACCCACCAACCCCGGCTGAACCCAAACCAACAATAAGCGCTCATAACCTAGCCACTACAGAACAATGGATAAGTAAATGGTCCACCGATTCTACATCTCCACAGCACATATAACACCAATTGACCAAGATATGCCGGTGCCGAATCAAATTGTCAATAGTCAAGATATGCCCCAAAGCTACTGTCCAGACAAAGAAAACAACCTTGGAAGGAGACCCTGGACCCCATACACTCTTCCAAGGAAACGACACCCCTGCCCCTCCCACAAGCTCACAATAATATGAAGATACCGACAAAAACCCCTTTGGCCTTCGGACAAGCCCACACTACACCTTCCCCACACTGCACCCAATAAACCAATTGGTCCACCTTCCAATCTTGCACCTCACGTCGCAAAAGAATGTTCCATACAGTCATCTGCCCTTGTCCAATCCCATAAGAAGCCACCATCGCATCCAGATCAATAGCAATATGAAAAATCAAAAGGAACAACTCTTCGAGAGTCTCCTCCGCACACCATTTATCACTCCAAAATCAAGTTCTATCCCCCGCCCCAACCCTAAAACGAATTCACTTCCAAAACTCCTTATGCCCTAACCAAATCCCTTTCCACAAACTTCGCCCATGTGACTCCCCCACCAGATTTGTACATTTGAACAAAATTGTGACAACGATGATGACATTGACGAGGAAGACATTGTTGGCCCTTCTATCCACAACACCCAGGAGACCAACTTTGCTATCCCTTTCTTCAATATTTATCTTGGAAATTATAGTTCCATTACCAATCTTATTATTGTTCAACATGGATTATTATGGAATCCCGTTACTGTGAAATTAGAAACAAGGGATGGTTTTAAACGATGAAAACAACATACAGTATGCTATACCATGTGAAGAATAATCGGTAGTATTTGGTTCTAGATTCCAGAAAAAGAGCATTAGGTGTGCCAATGCAAGCATGAATGTAGTTTTAAAGAGGGAAAAACATGGCTTCTTTGAGATCACAGAGTATAGTGGTCCTCATCATTGTGTCAATCCGAGGATGAATAAGGACCACACTAAACTTGATTCTGGCCTTGTTTCCAATTATCAAAGGGCCAAGTTGAGGTAAGTTATGTGTTTAGTTATGTTCACAAAGATTGTAAGCAACTCTATAAAATCTATGATTATGTATTATGCAGATACAACTAGACTTGGACATTGCAACCATCAATCAAAATGTGAAGGAAAAATACGAGTACACAATTTCATAGAAGAAGGTATGGATGGGAAGGACAAAATCCATAGTGTTGGTATTCGGGAAATGGGAGGAGTCATACAAGGTTGCTAAATCATGTTTGCATTGTTGGCGTTTTAATTTGGGTACAATTGTGGTATAGGACACCATTTCTATAAGCCTCCAACATGAAATGATTGTGAGCTATGTATTCTGGGCATTTAGACAACCTATCGAAGGTTTTAGACACCATTGGCTAGTGAGATGTGTTGATGGTACACACCTCTACGGGAAATATACTGGCAAGATTCTGATAGTCACTGCAGCTATTGCAAATGATACTATTTTACCGCTTGCTTTTGCCATCATTGATGAGGAGAGAATCAAGAGTTGGTCATGGTTCCTTATGAACCTTAGGCAACATGTTGTCCCTACCTGCGAGGGGGTGACATTGATATTTGATCATCACAAGACTTTACTTGGTGTCATGGCGAGATGGTGGATTAATCCAACAATTCATCTGGTTATAGCAACTTCAATAAAGCATTCAAAGATACTTGGATTAAGGATCTTGCTTGGACTGAAGGTGTTGCACATCAGGTGCAAAAGTTCAACCGAATACTAGAGGAGATCGACTAGTTGAATCTAAGGCAATACAGTGGTTATTGCAAAATTCACCCCCCCCCCCCCTAAATTACTAACATTGTCGCATGATAATGGTCATTGTTAGGGCATATTAATGACAAACCACGTAGAGCACTTCAACGGTGTCATGAAAAATGCACAGAATACCCCAAATTGCAACTTCTATTGAGGTAACATGTTATTGTCTCATGAAGTATTTCTATAAGATGATGATGAAAGCTGAAAATGCTTGACGTCATGGTAAATTGTACCCCAAACATGTACAAACTAGAATTGATGAGTACCCAGTCAAAGCGAATACTCGAGCCTCGACATCGTTTGGCAAGTTATTTCCACAACTTGCAAGAATATAGTAATTATATAATGAGCCTGTTTGGTACAACTTATTATAAGCTGAAAGCTGAGAATCAGAAAACATAAGCCAAAAGCACCCCCCCCTTCCCTCTCCCTCCTCAACTTGCAGACAATCAGTTTTTTTTTCCGGCTTATTCAAGTTATGTTAAGTCATCAACTTTTCCAAAAGCCTAAGTTGTTAGGAAATGGGCCCAACAATATATATAATCAAGCTATCTAGTGCTCTCCCTCATGTGCAACCAAGTCTTCTACATGGAGAGACAAACAGAAAGAGAAGCAAACAATCAAACAAAGAAGAAGAAATCAAAAGGGAAAAGAATACAAAATGTCAACGGCGAGATTTGAACCTAAGACCTCCCTCAACTTGAGCTTTGATACCATATTAAGTCACTAATGTTCCAAAAGCCTAAGCTATTAGAAAATGGGCCCAATAATATATATCAAGCTATCTAACAATTTATGCATAATAAGCAATAAGCAGAAATTGCACCAAATAATCAAGCACAGACTCCTAAATTAAAATAAGTTATAAACAGCTTATTTAAGCTGCATCAAACAACCCCAATGTATGTGTTGAATTATCTAAAAATAGTCTAAATTTTCAATTGATAGGGGCCACGGTCACATACAAGGTTAAAACAACTACTTTTGGGTTGAAGAATAATAACAAATAAATGGATTGCATTTACCCACCTAGTTGTTCATGCATGAAGTACCAAATCTATCACTACTCATTTTCTCACATGTTTGCTATATTAGCGGAGCTAGGCAAGAACCCATTGGTTTTAGTTCTATTGGAGTATGAGATGGAAGTGTACATTTGTGTTTTTAAGAGTAGGTTTCAGCCAATTCCTCATGTCGATTATTAGCCCTAGTCTAATTTCCCCAAATTGCATCCTCATCTAGATTGACTACATAAACCTAAACTGGCTCATCTTAGTTCCACCTGCAACTAGAATGACATGGCTGAATGTAGGCAATGCAAGACCAATTAGTGTAGTGTGCATTTGCAAATGGGTCATAAGTGAAAATTTCTAGCGAGGCCTTAACCAACCTGTCATTAGGGTCTGTTTTATCGCATGAAAGTTTATATTACCTAATTATGTGCTATATGTAATCTTTAAGAATGATTGTATGTCATTGTAGTAGAATTAATGCACGTAATGATCTCATCCCTGATTACATTTTTTTTCTTTTTTGTGATATGTAATACTTGAAACCATAAAAGCCCTACATGAAACCAACATATGACTCAAAACGAACGTAGAGCGAAGAGATGGTGATAAAGAGAGGTCTAAAAATTGTTCATAATTGGAATTCACAGACTAGACGGACGAGACAAACTTTTATGCTAAAATTACACTTTTTGTTGGAGATAAGATTATATTCTAATATCTTTCATATCTTCTGATATCTTTTGACAATATAATTGTGGGTGAGTGAGGGTAGAGGTAGTCGGTCGTTGACCTCTAGGAAGATGGTGGGTATTTCAATGGCCTAAGATCACCGGAGGTGGAGAGGAGAAGGTCAAGGCAAGCTAAGAGAGGGAGAGGTTATAGTTAGGGACCTTGAACACTCGTGTACAAGTGTATAGGTGTGAGTGTATAAGCGTAGAAGTAGAAGTGCAAGTGTGAATGTAAGTATAAATGAGTTTGCCTACTGCATCTATGATATGTTATATAGGCTTCCGGAGTATTAGAGCCCAAGCAACCTATTAGACAGGTGGTCGTTCTTCCCAACTTTGACAAAAGCTAATCTAAGCCCTATTGCCGTCTATGGTTTGATGGCAGGCGGGAGAATAACATATCATGTATGCATCAGGCAGTGAGTGTAAGGTCCCCATCACCTCTTCTCCAACCTTGATCAAGATGGAGCTGTCTTAGCAAGAAGACAATCATCTTGACAATCCCATGACCTTAGCCTCCAGCCCAAGGTCCTCTGATGATCCAAGCGGCGATGCCTGGGTCCTGCTCCCGACCCAGGCAACTGAGTGGATGAGTGAGCCAAGGGCCTATCTCAATGTTTGGGAGAGTCGAGGGCTCATTCTTAACAGTCCAATGTATGCAAGCAGGCAAGGGCCTGACTATATCGTTGTTGGACTTGGAGTGAGTGAGATATGAAGGACCATGACGCTGTGAGGGTCATGGTGCTGCTTGTTGAAAAGCTCTTCATGCTTGGGCTTATGTGCATGCTCTCTCTTAAGCTAAGCATGCAATCTTGATTTTACATGGTACCTTGTCGTTCTGCCATGCAAGCGTGGTATTAGTGACATGGTGCCCGTAGGGCTCACTATGTATTGGGCATGTGATACGTTTACGTGGTGCCTTGTTGGTCAGCCACGCAAGCGGGGCATTGATGGTGTGGCACCCGTAGGGCTTGCCACGTATCAGGCGTGATACAAGTACCCACAATAATATTGTTGGCTATCAGATTATATTATCAAAGATATTAGAAGCTATAGAAGATATTAGAATATATGGAGATCCCATGATTCTAAAATCTTCCATATCTTCTTATATCTTTGACAATATAATCTTATCTCCAACACTTTTCACCCTCCAATTTTCACCTAAATTTCACTGCGGTCCCTCACCTTTTAATTGCAACAATTAAGTCCTTATACTTCAAGCCAAGTTTCAATGTAGTTCTCCCGTCACCCTATCATTTAAAATTTTAGCCAAAATTGAAACATGAAGGACCAAAGTAGAATTTGAGTGGAAGGTTGAGGATGAAAAGTGTACTTTTTTCTTCTTTTCTTTTTTTTAATGCACTTAAAGCATGCTCATGTGGCCATCACATGAGCAACTTTTGTCTAGTTTTTAACAACGAGTGACAGGAGGATTATATTGAAACAAAGATTGAAGTCAGACATAATTGTTGCATTTATAAGACAAGGGACCAAATTGAAATTCAAATAAAAATTTGAAAGATTAAGAGTAATGTACGGAACTTTATTTAAGGACCACATGGTAAGGAAAAGAAAGGAATTGACCAACAAATTATAAATAAACCATGACAATGATAAGAATTCATACTTAGCCAACAAATTATCCAGAGGGGAACATCTAGAGCCTTTTGGACGCAAAACAAGAATTTATTTTTTTTAGAACCATATCAACATGGATATATAGTTGATCCAACTTAAAATCTTACTTCAAGGGATTGGCCAACAATCTCTGTCCAATTGTTACAAAGCTAGTCTCTTGCTTTGACATGAACCATGCAAGAGAAGAAACACTGCACAAATTCACCCAAAATAGAGAATGTCATGAACCACATAATGCACTTGGGAATTCATACATGTGTGTGTGGCAAACTAGAATTTAATACCAGACTAGCAATAGCAATCTCTGTACCTGCCAGTGAATATATGCTCCCTAAGTCCCAGTATTGTTGGATTCCTCACACCATGCTTTTTAAGAAATTCTTGCAGCAAGTTCCTCATTTTGAAGGCTTCTTCCATGTAGTTATCCTATTAATGAGCATTCAACAATCTTACTTCAGGGATACCAATTGTGTGTACCATGAGTTATAAGCAGATATAAATAAGATAATACCTGGTTCATATCTATAGTTTGCAAGCCTTCCCCGCGCGTGAAAATTATGGCATGGTTTTGATTTTCTGGCTTTCCTTCACCCAATAGAGCAGGTCCTGGAAGTTTTATTCGATAGATAACCTGAATAAGGAATTTGACAAAAGTCAAAAATTATTGTAGTGTGATGAGAAGGTAGTTAAAAAAAAAAGGAAACAGTTAAACAGCCATGATAAGTTTCAATTTTCAAATAAACAAATGCACAATAAATTGCAACGCTCACAACTGCGAAGAGAAAGGGATTTTTAAAATTGTTGTCAGTGACAATGAAAATATTATCCACCAGCAGAAAATGGGGAATTCAAAATGCATGTCTCCCTATACATGGGTCAACATCTCAAGCTCAAAATTGAAACAATAATGTAACCTACTTGAAATTCAAGTATCTATGGATACCATACAATAAAAAAATAAAATAAAAAAAACCTGATCACAATTAACTTCTAGAAAGCAAAAAACCTAGATAAGCTGCTTACAACATCATGTTATGATTCCGACCAATGCTCAGAAAAGACAAATTTGGAAAGGGATCAAGTTTACATGATTCATCCCACATTCAAGTTCACAATACCTATAAATTTTAGATGGGCTCAATTCAATGTTGTTATCTGGAAACTTGTACCTGGTCTAGGCTTTGACCTGGCTCAGATGAGTCAACAGACTTTGGTACAGCCTTCACAAGAGCTGAATAATAAACCTTTTCAACCATCTTTTTTGATATACCTTTGCTAGTTTCTTCAACCTCATCAACGTAAGCTACGCGAAGAGATGGATACCTACCACAAAAAATTAAGGAGATGGAACTACAATTCCATACTACAACAATAACCCAAGAAGCACAGATACGAACACTGGACATGGACAGGACACAGACATATGGGCATGACATTTCTCCAAAAATTATGACATGGACATGTCGGGGACACATTGAATAAGATATGTATATATACTATAAGGAACTATAAAACCAACATTATTTAAATTAAATTAGCGATAAAAAAATTAACAATAATATTATCAAGCTATCAAAACAACATAACCACTAAATAAAATTCAAGAACTAAACATCCATAGCACTTTTAATTTAATCATCATTCAAATTTCATAATTTTTTGATAGGCATTCAAAAATTTCATAATTCCACCATTTAACACATAATCGAAAGATTTTTCCATCCAAAAATTAGTCAACAACTTCACAAAGCATCATAGACGTGGGAGATAACATTTATAGTTTCCACTCTTTCTCCTTCCGTGTTCTTTATATCTTACTTTTTTTTAGATCTAATGGTTGTCAAGTTATTTAGCTTATTCTCGTCTTCTTTTATTTTTGCGTATTTACTTATTTATTTCAAGTTTTTAAATAATATATCATGAAAGTGACCTCGGCATGTCCAGAACATGTCCCTAGCTTGTCCTTAGCGTGTACACTTGTCCATAATTCAAAAAAAAATTTGGACACTTTCACGTGTCCAGACCGTGTCCATGTCCTACAAGTAACTCAAACTCAATTTTAGAGAGATACGTTGTCATAAGCCTCAGAATGTCGTGGGCACGAGCATCACCAGATCGTTTGTGAATGCCATATTGTTGGCACGACACCACATATGTGAACTTCATATCAGCTACTGCTTGACATTGTGCCAACAATGACCTATCATTCCTTGATTGTTCCTCAGTATTTGATTCAGCAATCTTATAGCCTTTCATCAATTCTGCAGAAACGTAGCAAGTTACATTGTTATAAAGGAATCAATTACTGTAAAATTGATGGGGGGAAATATCACCATGTCCTGTCAGTACCTTCATCATTTGCCATATCAAGGAAAGCTTGAAGTTCTAAAGCCTGCCGATAGTACATCATACCTCGTACTTATTTGTTCAATGTGGAGTTAGAACATTTATAGAAAAGTTATCATCATTTATAGAAGAATATCGAAATTTCAAAGTCACGCAAATAAATTTTATACCAGTTTTGGTTAATGTCTGGCCTCTATATGAGGCCCATAAACAAAGTTGTTCTTCAAGCTCTGCATTTCCTTTTAGTTCTTCTTCACTGCTGCATTGAACCCGTTCAAGAAAGTTGGTCCATTCATCTGTTTATTGTGACTCCATTCAGAATTGAAGGATTACAACTCAATGATCAAACATGTCAAACTATGCATAATAGTTCACAAGGTGACTAACCAGGAAAAATCTTTTGTAAGTAGAATAGGATAGAAACACCATCTTCATTTGGCTTTTCCAGGAGATTCATGGAAAAAAGGACTTCTTCTTTGTAGTAGGGAGTTAGAACACTAGAAGAAAAAAATAGATTCATAAGTTGGTATGTCTTACTCAAGATCTAACTTAAGCAAAAGACCGAAAAACAGAAAAACAGCATAAGCCAAAGTAAAAAAAGATTTACTCCTCCCTCCCAACTACGCAAAAACATTACTAAGCATGCCAACCAAAATCTTCATGATTGTTTCATTATGAAAATAATTTAGATTCGCTAGAGTATGTTAGATTTCACTCACTTGATGATCGATCATTACTTTTACTAAATTTAAAATGCAATAACCAACACACAGAAGTATTCATCAAGTAATACAAGGGGCTGTTTGGAATGGGCATGATAAAAGGAGTTCATGTGAACTGTTGTTGCATCTTCTTCTTCATGTTTAACTTGTTTCATGATGCAATTTAATTCAATTTCTGATGTTTAATAAGTCAACAAAATCAAATTGCCTCTTTTTTTAAGAGCATATATAGTTTTGCTAACAATGGAAAATATTTGAGACCTCTAATAAAACCCCCACAATGTCACCCCTAATGATGTGGAATGATAGGTGTCAACTTTTGATTTGTCACATAATCAATTATGTGGACCCGGAGCCCATTTTACATAGGTTTGAAGGTCTGGTATGTACTCTGAACAAGCTATTGGGTCATTGTGGCCATTTGTCATGTACTGTTAACTATAAAGGTAATATGGCTGAAATATTGGGGTCTGAATATATTGTGCCTAGAGGGAGATAAATAGGCCAATTACCAAAAATTTCTTTAAACCACTTCGATTTAGATATTGGCTTTAATTAAGTTGTGATGAAATTAATTATCGCATGAATGTAAAAACCAATGACACAACAATCAATGTGGAAAACTCTTCTGGAAAACTCTCCAAAGGTAAAAACCACGGTCCCAACACCAAACAAAAATCCACTATAATGAATCAAGATTACGAGGCATTGACAAAGGACTTAATAAGTTATAACCACTACCCAGGTTAACCTATCTCTCTTGTCTTGAAGATGTTCCAAAGCATGGCCTAACTCACTCAGTCTCTAGATCCACTTAAACACCACACCACCTCGCCTCGATCTCTGTACATGTATGGCTCCAAGGGTGTGATGACAACTCAATGCATGTATATGAGGGTATTTGGAATGTATGAAGACAATCACTCAAGAAAACTCATGCACATGGATGCAAAATAAGATCTTAAGAGTTTTTCTTAGTTTTGTGAAAATGGCTAAGTTAAAAATATTAGTTGGGTAACCTAACGAATTATGGAAGCATTATAAATGAAAAGGTTACCAAGCCTAATTAAGAAAATACAAACAAAGAAAATATTTGTCGGGAATCGATTGCATCAAGCGAGCAATCGTTCGTGACTAAAAAAACGTCACAAAAGGCAGATTAGGGCAATCAATCACCTAACCACTGTTTTGAAAACCTGTGGCACAAAATTGACACACTCCATGTCAGCGATCAATCACTACACCATGGGATCAATCTTAAAAATGGGATATCACTTGGATCCTCGAGGAATCTGATCTGCCTAAACATCTAGAACACCGTTAAACACTAATCAATCGGTGTTTGGCCAAAAAGCCCCTCCGATGCTTTAACTCAGTGATTGGAGCAGAGAAAAAGAGCAAGAGCAAGAGCAAGGAGATAAGTTAAAATGTGAACAAGGTTGGCTCCCCCAATTACCAAAATAGGTTGTCATTTTATAGTGCTCTTCTTCCCCTCAGCCATGAGTGGGCACAACTGCCTTGCGCGATACCCTCTCCAGATCGCACTTATCTCTCCTGCAAAGGTCGCTATTCTATTATGCATAATCCTCTCGCCGTGGATAATCTGTTATCCCACATGCATGAACTTTATCTCTCTGAGTTGTTCCTTAGACATGTAGTTCACATCATCCAATTCTTGATGGTCCTCGTGTTGCTCATCCTGGGCGTATTCCATGTTCAGCCCAAGCCCTACTCCAGGTTACATAGCCTACAGTCAGGCCTGATGTTCAAAGAGATCGTAGCAGTCCAATCCGGCCAGGGATCCTCAATTAGCCCAGCCCATTCTATCTATTGGTCCTGTGGCATGGTTCAGTCAGCACCATTCTGTGCTCAGTCCATGTTCTTTTTGCTTGGTCTGGCCCATTTCAATGGTAGTCAAAATTTCCGATTATTCATTATTGAAACAACTCAAATCCTCAAATTACTAGAGATTATTGGAAATTAATTAATAGTCAAAAGAAAGTAGATTGTATAATTGCATCATGGATGTTTATTGATCATAGGCACATATAGCATAATATCCTACTTTTTCACAATGCTAGAAAATCAGTTATTTAAGTTCACCATCTGGGAGATTCATAAGTCAGAGCATATATTGCATAAAATCTTACATTTTAACATTTCGAATTATATTTTATCAATGTCTATCACGTGATTGACTCAGTTTCAACTCAAACAAAATATAAGCAGTAATGTAATATCTAATATACATGAGACCGAGAGTATAATAAAATGGATATGAGTGAGTTACATAAGAATCTATTAACATGTTCACGTACAAAAATGTTCCCTTGAAAGGAAAACACAACTTTCAGTGAGTGTGTCGATCTTTGGATTACACGGCGTGCCAGGACTTGTGACTTAGTCCAAGGTGTAAGTGCGAGTAGGAATATTTGGCTTGTAATGAGATGAATTATGTGTGGTTAAAGGAGTAACCACTAGTTCTTTCTTGCCTTGGATGCAAGGACTTCAAAATTTTCCCAGGTGATGATAGTGAAATATGAACTTCGAAGGAAATGAACAAACTAGAATTACTAACAAGATAAATATAAATAAATGACTTCCATTAATGGATAACAAAGTATAATTTGAAGAACCAACAAATACTAAAGAAATTGACATTGCAAGAATTAATCAGTAAATAAAAAACAATTTGATGAAAAAAATGCATGATAAGCTTGAAAGTAAAATTGACAAGAGTTGATTTGATTGATTTGGTACTGGACACTTTTCTTGTTGACACTTGATGTCTATATATAATGTTCCACCTTTTGATCGACTAGAAACCACTTCTACAATTTTTGCTCAACTACCTGGACGATCATACTGTCCTAATTGAGCCAAGTGTCCCATAATGTGCTAACTTGAGGCTTACTTGTTAGCAACCAAAAACCCACATTTTGCACTTTTGCAAGATGCGCCAGATGTGGCCATGTGTCGCACTTGGTGCTAACTTGAAGCCCACTTTTTGCAACCACCCAGCCATATCCTACATTTTTGTAGGAAAGTGCACTAGATGTGGTTGATACAAAAGGTGAACCAAAAAGAAAGATACGTACGTATTATTCAATAATAATGCAAAGGTAACAATACAATATAAATAGGTAAAAGACAAAAACCCTGAATAGAAGATGAAAGCCAATAGGCCTTTCCCTTTCCCTTTCCCCCTAAATAGAGTCTAAGGGAGCGGCTTCAACCAGCAAAATTTTTCCCATTCAACACCACACTCGTAATGCGATGAACAGGAGTGTGATGAGAAAAAGAAAAATCAGAAGTCACTGGGACAGGTTTGGTGGGCATATTGGAAGCAACAACAAGGGATGGGTTAGTCATGGTGGATGAATAAGGGCTGAAAAACACAAAAGCCTCAACACAGTCCAGAAAAATACGAGAAGCCAGAAAAAAAAAACTCAACAGCTAGTCCAAATAAATGCTACCAAACAAATCTAGTAGTCTACTAAATAAAAAAGACCAAAAAAAAGTGCTTAATACATTAGCACCACACCCTAGAAAGGGAAAAAATAGGGACTGAACTACCCTAGAAGAGTTGCCGAAGCATCTATGGCCATGAAACACCCTGGTCGGCAGCCAACAAGACCCTCGGCAACACTAGGCCAGCCTGCCGAAGGATGTAAAGGGTTGGGTAGGTGTTTTCGGGGGGTCTAGGCTGGCTGGGTCGGGCTGTCAGGTGAAATAGAGGGCTAGAAGGGGACTATCGGCACTCAAGAAGGAAGGAAGAAGATGAAACAGTAACTAGGCAGAGTTGCTGACAATGGCTGGGCAGAGGACTAGGGTTTCTGTGCATTGGCTCTGATACCAAATTGAAAAACCCATCCAACACTTCTCCTTAAAACCCAAGTATTAAGGAGAGAGAAATTGGAGCCTTATAACCAGCACAAATGGGACAACTTCAGGCGATGTGGGACACATTCTAACAGTTTACAAACTATGCTTGGAGGGTGGGCGTAGCCAAGAGGAGGCTACATATAAACTTCTTTTGTAATTGAGAAAAGTATTCTTGACATCCATTTGAGACAGTGCCCACTGGCGAGAAGCAGCCATAGCCAGTAAGCTCCGAGTGGAGGTAAGACGAGCAACATGAGCAAAAGTCTTCTCGTAATCGATACCATACACTCAGAAAATATGAGGAAGAAGAACTCGGAAAATATGAGAAAGAAGGAATATATTTCTGTTATATTCAAAACTTCTTATCTTACAAGACCAAATGACACTCCTTATATAGGAGATATTACAAACATCATTATAACCCATTATCCACTGGCGAGAAGCAGCCATAGCCAGTAAGCTCCGAGTGGAGGTAAGACGAGCAACATGAGCAAAACTCTTCTCGTAATCGATACCATACTCCTAAGAAAACGCTTTGGCAACGAGGCAAGCTTTGTAGCGTTCGACGGTGCCATCAGAATGAGTCTTTATTTTGTAGACCCACTTACACCCAATGGCGGTCTTCCTAGAAGGAAGATTCACTAATTCCCAGGTGTGAGTCTTTTCCAAAGTTTGCAATTCAACCATCATTGCTTGCTGCCAAAGAGAGTTAGAACAAGCCTCACGTAGGAGTGAGGTTCATGCTAACTAAGAACAGTAGAATAACAATGATAATCAAAAAGATGGACTGGTAATTGAGTTACCCGAATAGGTCTATGAAGCGGAGAATCAGAAGTAGAACCTACAGGAGTATCCTTAAAAATGTCTCTTTAACTACTAGGTGACTTGTACTTACAAAATTTCATCCTTAAAAATATGGAGAAAGTATACTTCCACTGAAATAGGAAGATGTTAGCCAACTAACTTATCCATCAGCTAGTTTTTATGGATGGCTCAATCACTTGCCACCTCATCTCCTGACACCAATGGCCTGCAATGTTTAGCATCAACCTGCCACCTGCCCATGAAGTTCTACGCCATATCTAGGATGACTATGAGGTCTGTTAGGATTTTCTGTCAATATCAAATGGAAAAATATATTTATTAATGGTAATTGGTTTTTTCCTTGGGAGCCATTTGGTTGTGGCCCAATATTTTTGGGTATTTGTGTATATGATTGTTCATACATGGTGTATATCACATTTGTGAGAATTAATGTGATTGTTGGCAGTGGTGTATCTCACAGTTTTCCAAGCTGTGGAGTAGCCAATAATCTTGGAAGAGCAAAGGTTTTCTTTGTAATGGTGCTGCCAACATTGGTTAATGAAATTCCACAGATGGAAGAAAGTGGCAGCAGACATTGGGTTTGCAAATGAAGTGCATGATGCATTTTTTGGGTACTTGGCTGTCATCTTAGGGAGACCAAAAGGTTACTTTCTATATCTCCTCAACCATCTTGTGTTATATACAAATGTGGGTGTATGGGTTGGGTTGAGAGTGAGAGAGGGTGCTCTCCATTGAGAGTGAGGAGTATCCCCAATAGGTTAGAGAGAGAGAGAGAGAGAGAGAGAGAGAGAGAACAGTGAGGAAAATGTATAATGGAGTTGTATGGTGTAAGAGAAAAAATACAGTAACACGGGTGAGCAAGGGCTCAACTACCTTGACATGGGGTTTGGGCAGAGGTGTGGGTTTTGCTTATGTTTGGCCTGAAGCTTGGGTAACCAGCTTGGGGAATGATAGAATATCACCCCCTATTTATAAAAGAAGATTAGGGTTTACAAGAAATGCAATTTACAAGATGATCCCTGAGTGCTATCCCTGAGTGCTGATTACAGTGATTACAGACAGACCCTAACCTTGACATGGGGTTTGGGCAGAGGTGTGGTTTTTGCTTATGTTTGGCCATCTCACTGTACTCTCTATTTTGGTTATATAGTGGATTTACCTCTCTCCTGTAGATGTAGGCTTTTGGGCCAAACCACGTTAAATATTGTGTTTCTTTTGTGTGTGCATATTTATATGTAGGTACTCTTCCATTGACACATGGGTTTATATTTTAACATAGGGTATCAGAGTTTTAAGGTGGGATTTATTCCCAGTAAGTGTTATCAGAGCTTAAGGAGGGATTTATTCCATAACAAGTCCTACACCATATCCAGGCCAATCTGACACTGTCCATGTCAATTTGAAGCCATCCTGCACTATATCCAGGATGTCGTGAATGCCTTTTACTTCAATGACACCCTCTACCATGTTCAGGCCGTTGTGTGGTCCTGCACCAAGTCCAGGCCATTGGTTGACCTTGCACCAAGTTCAGGCCATTTCAGGCCGTTCGTGAGGACTTTTACTCTATCTAAACTGTTGCATGGCTGTGTACCTTGTTCAAGCTGTTGCAATGCCCTTAACTATGTACAGGATGCCGCGAAGGCCTGACAAGTGTGCTGGAAAGTTCTCTATTCTTACTGTTTATTCAGCTACAGCTGCAGGATCTGTCAGATTTCTTTAAGGCCTGACATACTCGCCAAAAGGCCTATTAAGTTTGCAGTAAAGTATGGTGACCATGTTTAGCCCACTTAATGGCTAGAAGGCCTTTAACTTCTGCATGTTATGACTTTGGAAGCCTAAATTCTCAAAATTCAAGCTCCATATGGCATTTCTTTGCTCACTATGATAAGTTACAATTTTTGGTACTAACAGAAAACAAAATGGAAGAAGCAAAAGAGTAGTAACAAGCTATAGAAAACAAGCTATTTCCAGATCCTTAATTTCTGAATTGTCACTTTTTGTTTCATAGGTATGCTGAACAGCATACACAAAAAACAACTCTCACATTGCCTTTAAAACAAATCAATTTTTTAAAAAATATGACCACGATTCAATCAATTGCTGCATTGTATGCAGAAGTGATGTAACCAATAGTCCGGCGTGATCAAAACTTACGAAAAGGAAAGCATATTGCGAACTTTCGGTGCTGCAGGCATGTCCATAAACAATGAATTTGAGAAGAAAGAAATGCGCCTTCTAGCTTCTATATTAGTTGGCACATCCATAGCAGATTCCTTCACTGTAAGCAATAGATGAAGCCTTCTTATCTGACGGATAAAAAAAAAACTAGCATTATGTAGGTAAGAAGTATAACTTGAAGATGAACAAAGGCTATAATGATTATGTTTCTTCTAGTTATAAAGAGATAGATTAAAAGAAAGAAGATGCCCAGAGAAAAAAAAGAAAAAAAGGTTAAAGAAATTGCAAAGAAACCAACTATAAGGCCGTGTTTGGTTCATGGATTTGGGTAGGGATTTGAAAAGGGAAAGAATTTGTGAAATGTAACTATATTTCATTCACATTTCACACATATTTTCCCTTTCTCTTTCTCTATCCAAATTCTTTCCCTTTCCAAATCCCTATCCAATTCATGAACCAAACACAGCCTAAGAGATGCAAAAACTGTTTCAGTTCTTGCTCTCTCTCGCAATAGAAATAAAACTGGAATTTGGGCAAAATTAACAGGAACAGCACGCAAATTACTAAGCACTATGAAATTAAAACTTTTCTATTTCTTTTTCACAGGTATAGTAAAATTTACTTTCTCTTTCCAAGCTTCTGTCTCTTCTGTAACCGGAAACCTAAGTGCGCCAAAGAACTGATGTTGTTGATCCAAGGGTGTCATTCCTTCATGCATTCCATAAGAGCCACTGAGGCTTGAATCTAGCAAACTATTGAGAAAATAATGACCTTAGAGCAGTGAAGTCAAATATAAATATAATTGTGGTGATAATTGCTTTGCATGATTTACCTAGGAACTGGATCTTCCATTATGTCTCTGGTCACAACCTCAAGAATGTTCAGTAACACAATGACAACCTCATCCTTGTCTTCTTTTCTATTTTCTATCTGCAGAATTAAAACAGCACAGCAAGGATTCACTATGAAACCCAAAATTCCTCAACAACTACAATGTGAAAGTTTCCACATTTTATATGTTACCAGATATTCAATAAGCTGAAGAAATTGTTCATAGAGGCTAGGCAGAGCACTCATATTCAATTCGCTTATCAGATCACCTTCTTGTATATGATGATCGACTTTGGAGAAAATCTCATTGATGACACTGCAAATAGTTAATTAACAGGTCAATAACAAAGACAACCTAGAAGACAGGAGAGAGAGAGAGAGAGAGAGAGAGAGAGAAGTATGCTTAGGTTGAGTATGTGTTAGAGAGTTATTAACTCACATTTGTTCACGTTCTCCTAAAACTAAAAAATGGATAATGTTTTTACATGAAGCATAACACTCCCGGACAGCACAGAGCATATAATTGTCTGAATTCAATCTCTTTTTTAGCTCACGGTCTCTCCCATTGCTATCTTTAGCCATGTCCAATAGTATGGGAAGCTACACAGTACACAAAGGATAGATGTCTCTCTATTAAACAAAGTCAAGGGAAGAAAGTAGCTAACGAGAACCTCTGTCAAGGGAAGAAAGTAGCTCAGGAGATAAAACCTTGCTAGCAAGTAAAAATGGAGGCCACTGGATAAGGTCCAAATCACGATCAGCCGAATATGGGACAAGCAATAGGCTCACTTCTCTGCAAACCCAAGAAGATTAGCACTCTAATTTAGGACCCAATAATAAATAAACAAAAATAAATAAAAACACTGAAAATGAAAGTATACAGAAGAGTATGCAAGAATTATAAATTTGTGAGAATATATTGTGTATATATGGCATTGTGTGTATATATGGCATTGTGTATATTAGGAATTAGACGTAAATTACGCATATAGGCGTATTTCCTTTTGAATCTTTCCTTGTTCAGCCATAGCTTAGGGCTATATAAACTGGTGACTACTTTGTAACACAATACAATTGAATGTACAAGTTTATTCAAAATCTTACATGGTATCAGAGCAACACGATCGTTGATCTCGTGGTGGCTAGGGTTTTGCATAATTTGGTCTCTCCGTCTGGTTCTTTAGTTGGCTTGAAGTCGTCGACTGGTTCGACGTTGTTCAACGACCCATCTGGTTCTCCATCAGCTTCTGCTCTTCGATTTCGCCTTTGAAGCTGACAGTCAAAGTTGAGTTGGAGCTTTGATTTGGAATCACATTTTCTCTCTCTAGCTTGCCGTCGCCGACAGACTCTGGTTCGGAATCACGTTTTCTCGCCGAAATCGCACTATCTTCTGTGACTCTCTGATCTAGGCCTCATCATCCGTGACCTCTAGTTGGATCGTCAGGTCGTGGAGTTCGTCTCTCAGCTTCAATCACATTTAATCTCTCTCTGGTTTTGTCACTCAGTTTCGATCTCCTTCAGTCTCTCTCTGGTTCTTGATTTGTTCGGTGGTTGTCAGCACTATTCTCAGAATCTGCTTGGGTCTTATGCTTAATACCTTATTTTCAGGTTTATTACACTACAACCCCAGGTTTCTCGTTATTACCCTGTGCCCCCTAGTTATCCATTTTGGGTTTATTAAACTTCAACCTCTCAGACTTCTAGTTATTACGATGTCTCTAACTTTTGATGAGTGTGCCTTCTACCATCAGAACGGTCATTGGAAGTATCATTGTCCTAAGAAGGGATATTTGTCTGCTTTGCCTGTGTCTTCTCAGCAATTTCCGATCAAGTTTTGCTTTCCTCCTCTGAGTACTGTTCGGCCTCTTGCCGATTCTACTACATCTGCTCCGGCTCTTGATCCTGGCTTGGCTTCCTTGACTGCTCACATTAGTCAGCTTCAGCATACATTATCTACCTCCCAACCATCCCTGTCTGCCTCCATTGTTTCCTCTCTTCATTCAAGTTTGCTTGGGTCTTCTTCAGGTATTTTTTCGTCTGTCTAGATTTTTAACACTGGTGCCTCTCATCATATGACTCCCCATCTCTCATTACTTCAAAATTGTACTTCCCCTCCCTTTCCTATTACTGTTAATGCTACTAATGGGTCTGGTTTGTCTGTTATATCTGTTGGGTCTGTTTTACCGTATGCTATGTCTGCTATCTCTATTCCATTTGTCCTATATGTTCCTCAATTATCTGTCAGTTTATTATCTATTAGTCAACTTGATGCCTCTAGTTTTGATGTTATCTTTTCTTCTTTTATCTGTTCTATGCAGGATCGGATGTCCAAGCAATAGATTGGAATTGGCCGTAGAGTTGGAGACCTTTATGTAATAAAGAGCTTGCATCTGCCTATGACTACCTCTCCGACTGCCTTTTCTTCTTTTTAGTTAGATTCTCTGTCAAGTCCTTTCTATTTGTGGCATTCCAGATTAGGGCATTTGTCTGCTGACCACTTACGGTCTTTAGCTCAGTAAGGTATATTGGATAAAATTTCTCCTAGTCAACTTACCGAGTGTCAGGGGTGTAAACTTGCCAAAATGACAGCCTTACCTTTCTGTAACAGTACTTCTATATCTACTACACCGTTTTCTTTAGTTCATACTGATGTCCGGGGCCTTTCTCCTATTCTCACCAAGGGGGGTTTTGCATACTATGTGTCCTTTGTTGATGATTGCACCCGTTACACTTGGGTTTATCTTATGAATCATAAATCCGATTCCTATCAGATATACCGTACCTTTCAGTCTATGATTACTACTCAGTTTGGGTCTACAATTAAAGTGTTACGGTCTGACTTGGGTGGGGAATATTTTAAAAATGAGTTCTGTGAGTATTTGGCCAATTTGGGTACCATTCACCAAACTTCCTGTACAAATATACCTGCCCAAAATGGTCGAGCCGAGCGTAAACACCGTCATCTCCTTAAGACAGCTAGGTCTCTTCTTCTCTCTACCTCAGTTCCGGCTCCATTCTGGGGGGAGGCAGTTCTTACTGCTGTTTTTCTTCTCGACCGCATGCCTACTCCCCTTCTTTCTGGTCGGTCTCCTTATGAAGCTTTGTTCTCTCACATTCATAACTACTCCCTTCTTCGTGTGTTTGGGTCTTCCTGTTTTGTCCTTCTTCCCTGCAAAGATGGGACCAAACTTGGTGTCCAGTTTGTCCTCTGTGTCTTTTTGGGTTACAGTCTTACTCAGAAAGGCTACCACTGTTACGATTCTGTCTCTCGTCGCCTTTACGTCTCCCGTCATGTTGCCTTTCTCAAACGTCTGCCTTACTTTCAGTTTCCCCCTCTCATTGCTCCAGTTTCCAAAGAGGATTTGGTTCACATTGACCCCTTTCCTTCTGAGGTCCCATCTAATGAGTACATCTCCATTGTTCCTCTTGAGCCCATTCCTACTTCTCCGTCTGCGTCACCTATGGCTCCTTCTCCTCATTCGGCTTCTGCTTCCCCTCCGTTGTTGGTCTATTCTCGTCGCCAGACTCCTCTACCACCAGTTGTCTCTACTCCGGTTGCTGCTCCTTCTGCTTCTGACGACTCTAATCCTGCTGCACACAGATATCCTACTCGTGAGCGTCGTCCTCCAAACAGGTTGGATTGGTCTAATACATGTTTTTCTACTTCCTATCGTACCTTTTTGTCTGTTATTCATTCTTTTTCAGAACCACAGTCTTACACGGAGGCCTGTCAAGATCCTAATTGGGTTCAAGCTATGGAGGATAAGTTGTTTGCCTTACAGAAGACTAACACTTGGGAGTTGGTTCCTTTGCCTGCTGGCAAGAATCTGGTTGGTTGCAAATGGGTCGATAAAGTCAAGACTCATTCTAATGTCTCTCTCGAGCGCTACAAAGCTCACTTAGTTGCCAAGGGTTTCTCACAGGAATATGGTATTGATTATGAGAAGACATTTGCCCATGTTGCCAAGATGACTATTGTCCGTACCTTGATTTATGTTGCTGCTGTTCGACATTAGCCTCTCTATCAGATGGGCGTTAAGAATGTTTTTCTTAACGGTCATCTCACTGAGGAGGTCTACATGCGTCCTCCCCCTAGTCTTCTCCACTCCTCTGGGCAAGTTTGTCATCTTTGGCGTGCTCTGTATGGTTTGAAGCAGTCTCTTTGTGCTTGGTATGATCACTTTCAGACTGTCATTACCGAGCTTAGGTTTCATCCTTCTGCTTCCAACTCTGCTTTGTTTCTGAGATATACCTCGACTGGTTTTGTTGTTCTCCTACTCTATGTGGATGATATGATCATCACCGGCTCTGACTCTTCTGCTATCTCTGAGGTCAAGCAACATCTCTTCCGCACCTTAGAAATGAAAGATCTGGGTCCATTGCAATATTTTCTTAGTATTGAGGTTGCCTCTTCTTCAAAGGGCTATTTTCTGGTTATTCACCGTGCCGGTCTTACTGATACTAAAGTTTCTGATACACCTATTGGGCTTAATGTGAAGTTCAACTCCACTGATGGTGTCCCTCTGGATGATCCCACGGTCTATCGCGAGCTGGTGGGTTGTTTAGTTTATTTGGCTGTCACTCGCCCTGATCTTGCTTATGCTGTTCATGTGGTTAGTTAGTTCGTTTCTGCTCGCTCTACTCATTGGGCTGCTTTGGTTCGCATTCTTCGCTATCTCCGGGGTACCATCTTTCAGGGCTTACTGTTGTCCTCTACTTCCTCTTTAGACTTGGTGACCTATGCTGATTCTGATTAGGCTGGTGATGTTAATGATGGCAAGTCCATCTCTGGTTTTTGTATGTTTCTTGGCGATTCCTTGATCTCTTGGAAAACCAAAAAACAAACTGTTGTTCGCTCGCTCTACTGCCGAAGCTAAGTATCATGCTATGGCTCATGCTCCTGCTGAGCTTGTTTGGGTTCGTTGTCTTCTCTCTAATTTGGGTGTCCTTCAGTCTTCTCCGACCTCTCTCTATTGTGACAACAACAGTGCTATTCAGATTGCCCACAATACTGTCTTCCATGAACAGACGAAACATATTGAGATTGATTGTCACTTTGTCCGCCAGTATCTGCAGTCTAGCTCTATCTCGCTTCCTTTCGTCTCCTCGGCTTTGCAACTTGCGGACTTCTTCACCAAGACTCACACTACCGCTCGGCTTCAGTTTCTTCTTAACAAACTCTCAGTGTTTTCTGCTCAAACACCTTGAGTTTGAGCAGGGGTGTGAGAATATATTGTGTATAAATGGCATTGTGTGTATATATGGCGTTGTGTATATTAGGAATTAGGCGTAAATTAGGCATATAGGTGTATTTCCTTTTTCAATCTTTCCTTGTTCAGCCATAGCTTAGGGCTATATGAACTGGTGACTACTTTGTAACACAATACAATTGAATATACAAGTTTATTCAGAATCTTACAAAATTACATTTCAAAGGAAACATTTCCCAGTGTTGAAATCATCATATTACCTATTATTTATTAGATCCTCCTCTCTGAAGCAAGTAATTATCTTGTTCCACAACTGAGCAAATCTTGCTGCCTCCTTCCCTTTGTTGGATGAGATCTGAATAAACAGCCAATTTCCAAAAACTTAATAAATGACACGAACGAACCAACTAGACAAATCAGAGTAATATTGTGATCAACAATGTAGAAACAATGATTGTACCTCATCAAATTTGCGAGAGAATGCAGCTTTCAGTCCCTTACGCTTCTCACTCTTTTCCAGAGGAATCAAGCGGGCATTGAAAGCACCTGGCAATGATTGAAATCGGGACCTCAACATCTGTAATGTCCGAATCTGAATGCAAAATAAAAACAGAGGATTTATCATTACAAGGACCAAAGATGAACCAATTGCAAGGCAGATTTTTAAAGCAAACTACCTTCTCTTCCATGGGACCATTCAGTTGTCTAACAATTGTAAGAGAAATAAAATACGAATTTTCAAGAAACATGACATTCAAAGTTTTGATAATTATCCCAGCATCCAACTTACAAGTTATACAATGGAACTTTGGACAGAAAAGTTGAATGAAGATTAAGATAAGAGACAACAATTCCAGAAAATCAATTGGTCTTTTGCCTGAGAAATTCCACATAGAAGCTATTTGCCACATCGGCAAATGGAGAAATACTAAATGCATAGAAGGAAAATAAATAAATAAAAAGGAAAATACGTCCACCATATGTTATTTATTCATTTGGAAAAAGTATAATACGGTTGTTGAAGAGATAAATAAGGGTTTAGACTATCACTTAGATTTCTCAATGTGATTAAGAGCTTGTACAGAAGCTCTGACTAGTGGCAAAACAAGGGGGAAGATAAATGAATCCCCGAAAAAATAATTTTTTTGGCTCTAATTGTGAATGAAATTACTAGGCACATTCAAGTGACTATCCCCTCGTGTATGTAGTTTGCTAACAACATAAAATTAATTAGCAAAACCAAAGTAAGAGTGGACTCTTAGTTAAAATTAAGAATCCACAGTTTTAGTTTACGTCACACAAGGATGCAATATATAGTGTAATTTTTTAATATAACATGCGTGTAATTCTAGCAAAACTAGAAGTAGCAATAAGGATAGATAGAATCTTGATCGTCATGAGAGACCAAAAAGTGGCTATTTTCAATTCATTGGATAAATTATTCAAGAGTAAGAGAAGAATGAGAAGTATGGTTCCTCCAAATCTTGGATAGGATGAATAAAATGGAAAAATACTTCAAGACTGTTGTCTGATCATAGAATTCCTACAAAATTGTGGGGAGTTCAATAAGAGAAAAGCTATAAGTCCAGTCATGTTATATAGACTGTTGTACAAATGTTTAAGAAGTCCAACTAAAACAAGGATGCTGAAAAGAATGAAGCTTGTTACTTTAAAAGAACTAATAAGAAAAAACAAAATACATTTGTGATAATTTATGGGCAGACCCATTAAGATTTATTTAATTTTTTGGATAAGTAACAAAAAATGATATATATATATATATACTAGTGAAACAAGGCCCGTGCTACTTGTACAATTAATTTTTTTTTTTTTAAATTTTGATTTTACCTTTTCACTTTAATTTAGTGTTTGTTTTCATTAGAAAAAATATAATAAAATGCTTATCTTGTAAAGGTTAAAAATTAATAATTTCGTTCTATTTCACTAAATTTAATTATATTCGGCCTTTATTTCAATTAATTAAGTATTATTTGATATTATTATCCCAAAATAAGATTTTTCTTCTCAAAATTGAATGGAGTATAAGATTAAACAAATCAAACGTTCATATTGTAGGGTTCGTTGAGCATATCATTCATTAAAAAAATCAAATTAATCGGATATGTTTTGAATTAAAAAGAACTTCATGCTATTTTTTTTAAATAAGAAGTCTTTTTGTCCAACAATTGGAGAAAAAAAGAAAATATTATGGGAAATTCTATTTACACATCATACAAACTCTCAATACACACCACAATATGTAAATTTGAACAAATTTTTTTTATTCATAACTTTAGATCCGAACATTTGTTATTTGTTTGAAAGTTTATATCCGAACACCATCTGTGATGTGTACTGAGAGTTTGTACAATGTGCAAATATAATTACCCAAAAATGATACCTTTATGAAAGCTGATTTTTCCAAAATAACTCTCCAAACTCCACCCAAAAATAAAATAAAATAAAATAAAGAAAGAAAGAAAAGAAAAGGAAAAAAGAAAGAAACCAAAAATAGCATAATGAAAAATTTAAAAACTAGCCGAGGACAAAATAGGAAATAGAAAACCCTTGCATACTTGACCCAAAAACCTTACATATTTTCCAAAAACCCTTCACTCAAGGTCATTCCACCAACTAAAGTAAAGGACAAAATAGAAAATAGAAATACAAGTTAAGGGAAAAATAGGAAAACAAAGTACAAGCCACCAAAATGAAAGAGATTCTTATATCTATACTACTATAAGAAGCACTTATGTTTTGGGAACAGTGAAATGGGTTGTATTTTGCCATCTTTGTCGCTTTTGTCTTTTGACTTTTGTTGGTATTACTGCTTTGGAAGAAGACTTTATGGTAATTATGGTATGAATGTTGATCAATTTTGAGGTATGAATATTTTGTTTTTGGCTAATATATCTATATATATAAGAATCTCTTGCATTTTGGTGGCTTGTACTCTTTTTTTCCTATTTTGCCCTTTAACGTTTATTTCTATTTTCTATTTTGTCCTTTATTAGTTGGAGGAAGGACCTTGAGTGAAGGGTTTTTAGAAATTATGTAAGCTTTTTGGGTCAATTATGTAAGGGTTTTGAATTTTCTATTTTGTCCTTCACTTGTTTTTTAATTCTCCATTTGCCATTTTTTTGTTTCTATATATATAAGAATCTGTTTCATTTTGGTGGCTTGTACTTTTTTTTCCTATTTTGCCCTTAACTTGCATTTCTATTTTCTATTTTGTCCTTTATTAGTTGGTGCAATGACCTTGAGTGAAGGGTTCTTAGAAATTATGTAAGGTTTTTGGGTCAATTATGTAAGGGTTTTGAATTTCCTATTTTGTTCGTGGCTTGTTTTTTAATTTTGCCATTTTTTTGTTTCTTTGTTTCTTTTTTCTTTTTTTTTGGGGGGGGTGGGGTTGGAGTTTTGAGGGTTATTTGGGAAAATCAACTTACATAGAGGTATCCTTTTTGGGTAATTATATTTACACATCGTACAAACTCTCAGTACACATCACAAATGGTGTTCGGATATAAACTTTTAAAAATTGATAATTTCGTTCTATTTCACTAAATTTAATGATATTTAGCCTTTATTTCAATTAAATAAGTATTATTTGAGATTATTATCCCAAAATAAGATTTTTCCTCTCGGAATTGAATAGAGTAGATGATTAAACAAATCAAATGTTCATATTGTAGGGTTTGTCAAGCATATTATTTATAAAAAAAAATCAAATTAATCGGATATGTTTTGAATTGTTCAAAAGAACTTCATGCTATTTTTTAAAAATAAGAGGCCTTTTTATCCAACAATTGGAGAAAAAAAGGGAAAAATATGGGAAATTTTATTTACACGTGACATCATACAAACTCTCAGAGAGGAAAAGAAAAAAGAAAAAATTAAATAAAAAAAAAGCACATATTAGGAAAAAAGTGTCAATAAAAAAATTTGACTTTTTCAAAATTATCCCTTTTGAGTAATTATAAATATATTAAAATTTTGAAAAGATAAGGACATTAGAGGAAAAAAAAAATTTGAAATTGAAATTTAAGTGTAATAATTGCATGCCCCCCTTACAAAGTTGGAACCCCCAAAAGTGATCAACAAATTGAGATAGAGGGAGATAAATGTATACATATGGATAATGCTATAATACACACCAAATAATCATTCTCTTTAAACCTCTATCATTGAATTAAAATCAAATCATTCTTCTTTAACCTCTAAATATATTAAAATTTTGAAAAGATAAGGACATTAGAGGAAAAAAAAAATTGAAATTTAAATTTAAGTGTAATAATTGCATGCCCCCCTTACAAAGTTGGAACCCCCAAAAGTGATCAACAAATTGAGATAGAGGGAGATAAATGTATACATATGGATAATGCTATAATACACACCAAATAATCATTCTCTTTAAACCTCTATCATTGAATTAAAATCAAATCATTCTTCTTTAACCTCTACCAAATGATTATTCCACTATATTTTTCTTCCATCAAACAAACACTACCTTAAAATAAAATAAAATAAACAAATTTTAATAAAAACAAATAAAAAAATGGCCGACTCACCCACGCCTTGCATGGGCCTACCTACCTAGTATATAGATATATGTCAGAAGAGGTGAGACCTCTGTACATTAGGCGTATACAAAAAGACATCCAAAAAATTAAGTTCCCATATAAAATCTACAAGAGAAAGGGTGGCTTGGTCCAACAGCAAGTCTTGTCGTTAGCATTCTTGGTGGCATAGGTTTGAATCATGAAACAATCTCTTTGTAACACCCTTGGTGCTATTGCATGACATGTGCATATTTTTGTTCATATTTGAATGCTTAAAGTCCTATGTCACATGAAATTCTTTGAAACATGCCTTGATCAAAAAATAATTCTGACTATTTTGTTTTTGGGGTTTTTTTTTTTTTTTTTTTTTTTGGGGGGGGGGGGAGTGAATCGAAAGTTTGTAGGGAGAATAGTTTTTTTTTTTTTTTTTTTTTTTTTTTTTTTTTAATCCTGTTTAGATGCACCTAATCTAGATACACCTAAAAATAGAATATTTGTGAAAAAGATTCCTTCTGACATAGAAGATCAGATTTTAGAGAATCTCCAAAGGTCTTGGAACTTCTTTTGGGTTGTGTGATGCAATCTTAATCCTAATTGTGATAACAACGAATTCTAGCTGTGATGCCTAGATTTTCTTCTTTTTTCTTCCTTACATATCTGTGATATTAAAAACTTTGAAAACCTAGGATCAGATCAGATTTGCCCTTCTTTCTTTACCTTCAACCCTAATTTTACAAACCTAAGCTATTGAACTGTCAATCATGAACTAGCCAAACCAAACTAAGCCTTGCTTCCCAGTCAAGTGGAGTTGGCTACATAAATCTTTTTTTACCATTCAGCTTTATCAAAGCCTATATACTCAGTTAAATTAAATAAATTTATATTATTTTTCATTACTGCATCCCATGTCAACTTAGGTCTTTCCTTCCCATTAGCATCTCCATTTATGGTAATCCTTCAACTACAAACTTTATAAAAATAAAAAAAAAGCAAATAATTGCTGTAGTCACAGCACCCAGAATAGCCCCTGAACAGTCCCCATAAACCACACCTCTACCCTTTCGTTATGACATGACAACCCTAAATGCCTCTATATCTTTATCACCCTCAGCCACAAAAAGTATTAATTACAACTGTAAATGTAGAGCTTTTGCTGCTGTGTGCAATCATTCTACATCACAATAGTGCTTCATTAATGTCGAGAACAACATAGTATCATCATGTTTAATGAATCATGCATGGTTTTAACTATGAGCTCAAGTCAGGCTACAGCAGCCTTGTATATTCTCTATTTCCCAAGGACTTGATCTTATGAATCTAGAAACAGGTGAGCTGTCTCTTTCTTTACCATCAGAAACTCCTTCACTTGAAAGTCCCCATTTCAAGATGGCAAAGTATCATTCCTAAAGACAATCCACAGTATCGTGCAGATTCATTTCATATGTCACACTCCAATTAGCAGCACTTCAATTAATCATTCAATAGATGAGATCCAATATGTCATCATATGTAGAGGTAAATCTACAACGGATACAATTTGCTCATTATGTGAAGAAAAAAAAAAAAAAAAAGGTATCCCAGTGTTCAAGGCTCCCACTAAAGGAAGGTCTAAGGATGACAAGATGTACATAGCCTTAACCCCCATTTCTGGAGAGGTTTTTGTTAAAATCCACCTATTACAAACCTACCACTACCACCTACTACACACTCACCTACTTCACCTACTCTCCACCTACTCTTCACCTACTCCTCACCTACTACACACTCACCCTCTTCTATATATAGGAATCATGAATCATTGTAATAAATACAACACAATCAATCAAGAATACAAAAATTTTTTACAGTTTTTTTTGCGACTCAAACTGTGCTGCCAGGACACTAATGACCAGCCTTTCGCATTGGGCAAGCCTTTACCGTTGCCCATGATGTAGCTTATTAATAAATGTGTTGTGTTATAATACCAGTAAAATCTTGAAAACACTGATAAAAATGACCTATTTACGTAGGTATCCACTAATCCTTTAAGCCTCGTCCTTCATGACATTGTAGAAGGGTTGACCACAAAAATATATAGCCTGAAGAGTCTATGCTTGGATAGGGCGTAAAACAACAAAAACCACCAATTTCTATAAATGCAAGCTAGATAATCGCAGGTTCCACTGACCTCTCCAAGACGGCGAAAAGCACCATATATGCCGCCAAATATTGCGCAGAAAATAGCATACCATATCTGGGTATCCATGAAATAGACCTGTAGTGGTCATTGCTTTAGACTCAAATAACAAAATGAGCTTGGAGAAATTGAATGGGACAGATCCAACAATAAAATACAAATGAACTTACAAGAAAAATAGGTGCCCAGAGTGCAATCACAACACCAAGATTGTTCTTGGCTACAAAAAGATAATTATAACATTAGAAACCATCTCTTCCTTTATGTAACAGTAACATACATAAATAACATTCACTCATTTGTTACCTCGAGGGAAGAACTCATGCCATTGGTAAGTTGGTGTCTGAGCTTGCATGATAGCTTTCGTAGGACCCACAAGAGGCTTTATCTGTAACAAAGAAAACAAATGAGATAATTCCCTGCTGTATGCCAGCAAATAATACTTGACCTCGAGTCTCTATGATAAGGGAAATTTGATGTGAGAGAGTGCTAGGAAAGTAAAAATAGGAACAAACTTTTGTTCATCTTAAATAGCACAAAATGACTGCCTAAGACTCAAATTGTTGTTCTTACACTTGGATGCCTAAGATTTTACATCACACAGAAAGATGGGAAAGTAGATTGAGAGAGACGTCTCTATGATAATATATTTTATTCAAAGTAATTGTTTTACATAATACATATTATGTTGTTTCACTTTTTTTTCCCCTTCCTTTTCTTATCATAGTCCAGGCCTTTCTTTCATGTACATGAGCAGAAAGTTCAAAATATCATTCACCCAAAATCATTTCATGAAAGATTAAATCTTTTTAGATTATTGGTCTGAGCCTGCCAATTAGCATTTTTTATCCCACTCAAGTTGAATTGAAACAAAGACTCCCCTCTCACTAGAATCAGTGCTGGGGTCTTAGCAATTGAGAATGAATAAGAGGAACACCTCTACATAGTAACTGAAAGCTAACTTTGCCACAATGAGGAGAACCCAAAATGCAGTATACCTGAAAGTTGAAACAGATGTTATCAGTTACAACAGCAAACATCTGATTCAAGCCATACCCACCTGACAATCTGACATTGTATTCTTACTTGACAAGAGAAAATGCACTCTCATGCATTCCCCTTCCAACATAGAGCCGAGGCTGCAAGACATCACAGGATATCAGAACGGTTGGTTGCAACAGAAAAACTGAAGGAAAAAAAAAATAATATTAAAAAGCAGCAGCTTCAGGTATTGTTTTGACAGACACAAAGAAGTTTTGGAAGTAGGGGCCAAAAAACATAATAATCATATAAAACAACGTGGAAATTCCTGCATACCTGAGACCACCACATAATGAGCATCACAATCTTATAGTCTGACCTTTCTAGATACCGACGGATGAATGGAAACAGAAACAACAATGCAGAGAGCATATTTGGAGATAAGTAAATTAGAACTGCCGAAATGAACAAAGAAGATGAACTTGAACTATTGCCAAACCAACTCCTAATGGTCTGTGCAAATCCAGGAGAATTTTTCAAGCTATACGCATAAGTTACTGGTAAAATTATCACCCAAGCCGCAGCAGAAACAGCCTTCAAAATGTATCTTAGTTTAACGTGCAATGACATGCTGTGCCTGGCTTTCCAGCTCATAATTATATCAAGGACAGCTGCAAATATGAAGAGTCCATAAATCAAATGACAACTTTCAGCAAGTAGATTCTCATTATATTAATTGTTGAATGCAGAGGAGTATTATGGAGAAGATAGTATTATCATTAGTTCTTATAATAAGCCATTATCTTTTCTTACTGAAGTTAAAAAGAATAATATATTAATGAGTCTGAAGAACATGTTGTGACAAACCGTAAGCTTTACCACTTAAGGTTAGGTTGCATCAAACATTAAACAATCTTTAGTTCAACAATAACATAGGTGATGTATTTAAAACCTGAATGTGAAGAGATTCGAATTCAGGCTTCAAACCCATCAAAAACGGATGTGAATGCGCTTGGGAACAATGGGTGCTGCCTCCACAGGAATATCACTCAAGGGCTAGAAATCAGTGTAGATTTGAGGGATTGTCAATCAATAAGAACCAGATTTATATGAATGTGTTGCAACTCTATAATCTTTTGAAAATATCAGGTTTTGAGGGTGACAATTCGGGTTTTGGTCTTTAATTTTTGAAACCTCCTCATTTTGCAAGCTTAATTGCAATGTGTGTAGTTGTCAAGTCACCAATTGTTCTAAAAGCTTAAGACACCAATTGTCCCGAAAGCTTAAACGTATATCAAGCTATCGAAAACCCTCCCTCGTGTGCAACCCCGTCTTGCACATGGAGAGACAAACAGACCAAACAGAAAGAGAAGCAAATAACTAAACAGAGAAGTAGAAACCAAACGGAGACAGATTATTAGATGCCAACGAAGAGACTTGAACTCAAGACCTCTCTCAACCTAAGCTCTGATATCATGTTAAGTCACCAATTGTCCCAAAAGCTTAAATTGTTAGGAAATGGCCCCAACAATGTATTTAAAGCTATCCAACAATAGCACGGGTAAACTGGGGCCAGCAACTGCAGGAACATTGATTTGTGATATGTTGGGTGAGGTTTTGTTCACTTTTGCAAACTCTTTTTGGGTGTGTTCTAATATGGTTACAAAAGTGATGGGATGGGATCCAAGAACAAGACAGAGAAATTAGAAAGACAGGAACCCAAAAAGGGTTCTAGAGAGAGAATATCTCTATATCAATCAATTGTCATATAAATGATCACTACTTCTCTAGATATAGGCCACTAGCCAACTACTCACCAACTCACATGTTAGGCACACTTCCTACATTAAAAAGCATATGCTTGTGCACATGGTATTAATCTTTGCAAGAGGGCTGGTTTGTCACATGTTTCTACTGAGCTGGATTCCAAAGATTTTATGGTATTTTATTAGGTTCATGTTCAATTCTGTGCATTCTATCACTATGAATATTAAGGGATGCTCTTAGGGACTCACTATCAAGTTTCTCATTGTTTAAGAGAAGTTAATAGTGGGGATGATGCTCTTGCTAATTGGGGATGTGATCATCTAGATGATTGTTTTCCTTCTTTTCAACGTCTTCCAACTCAGATCCGAGGTCTTATCAATTTGGACAAAGTTGTTAGAATATTCATTTATATATCATTTATACATTTATAATTATCTGTTTCCTGATTTCATGCCTTGGGGCTCTCCTTGTAAGTTATGTTACTTAATTAATATAAAAGGGAAGGAATTGATATTCATTCACCAAGGTTTGATTTTACCTAAACAAACATGGTATCAGAGCCCAAACCCTAAACCCAGCTCTCCCGCCACCTTCCATCACCACTCTGAAAAAACCATCTCCAGCCAACCCACCACCACCATTTTTCGGTCTCTCATTTAGCTATCTGGGGCTTGCGCATGCTGCAGCAGGCCTTCCAGGCTCAGCCAACAGCCGTCGAAGGCCATAGAGGCCAGGACGAAACCAGTCAGAGGTAACCCAGGACCAAACGACTTCCGCTAGGGCTTGCGCACACAGCAGCAAGCCTTCCAAGCTCAGCCGACAGTCGTCGAAGGCCATCCAAGCCAGGACGAAGCCAGTCGGAGGTCACCCAAGACCAGACGCCTTCCGTCGGAGTTCACCCAGGACTAGGCGACACCTTTTGGCAGTTCGACTGTCTGTTTAAGTCTAGTCGGCAGTCCCTTTGTTCCTCTGTGGCTCTCGCATGTCTCTGTGAGGTTTGGTACTGATATACTGATCGTGATATCTTAAAAAAAAAAAAACTTGTTTTGATTGAGGTTCTGGTTTCAGTTATTTTTTAATTTATTTTTGGGTCAATAGATGGCACCAATAATTTGATTTTCATGCGCCCATAGTGGCTGTGATTGTCATTATTTGGTTGTTCTCTTCCTCCCATAGTTGTGATTCTGCTGGTTGTGGTTTAAATAAGTAGCATACTCAAATGGCCGAAATTACTAGTGAATCCACCACTCGTGTCCAACCACCTCAAGTGGAGAGCCTCATTGTGCCTACTCAATTCGAAAACTACAATCCTAGCCTCAAAATTACCACCTCGTTGTTTAATGATCATAATTATCTAGTCTGGTCGCGGAGTCTGACTCTTTTTTTGAAGAGCAGGGGGAAGATGGGTTATGTTGATGGAAGGGTTCAACCACCAGGTCCCAATGATCCTGGTTATGACCAATGGGAGATTACTAACTCCTTGATTATGGGGTGGCTTATTCATTCTATGGTTGCCGGATATTGGTGAAGGCTACTTGTCCATGGAAACTGCCCGGGATGTTTAGGAAGCTATGGCTACCACCTATTCTCGCAAGGGCAATTTTTCGCAGACCTTTGAGTTACGTCGTTCCATCGAGCGCTCCGTACAGGGGATGCAGACTGTTCTTCAGTACTTCACATTTCTTAACAATGGTTGGAAACGTCTTGATCACCTGCAGGACTATAAACCGGTTTGCACTACTGATTCTGTTGGCTACATGAAGTTTATTGCACAGGAGAGGGCCTTCAAGTTTCTGGAAGGTCTCAATCTGGAATTTGATCCAATTCGGAGTCGTGTCCTTGGCATGGATACTCTTCCTTCTCTTCAGGAGGCCTTTGCTTATGTACAGAATGACGAGAGTCGTCGTTCTGCTATGATGCCAACTGCTTCTCCAAAACGCTCTGCCTTACTTTCTGTTCCTCCTCGGGATGGGACCAATCTGCCCCGTGCTTCTCCTAATCCTTCTACAAAGGACCCTTTGTTCTGTGATTACTGCCACAAGCCACGACATACTCGTGAGACCTGTTGGAAGCTTCATGGGGCTCCATCTGGCGGTCGAGGTGATCGGTTTGGTTCTCGCGGAGGCCGGTCCGGCCAGTCTAGAGGACATGGCTTTAATCCACGGGCCCATCAGTTCAGTGCAGTTGGCATACTTGATTCCACTCCAGCCCCAGCTGGCTTGTCCTCTGATGGGGTATCTAGCCTGTCTTCTTCTGAGTTTGAGGATGTTTTGCGTCACTTGTTGGACTGCCGGTCTTCTACCACTCCTCCAGATGCATCCTCTTCTTCATTTGCCTGATCAGGTAACTTAGCCTCTCTTCCCAGTGCTTTCATATCCCATATGTCTGTCCCATGGATTATTGATTCTGGTGCCTCAGATCATATGTCTGGATCTTCTGATCTCTTCTCCGACTATAAGCCCTCTTCAGGACACGACAAAGTTCACATTACAGATGGTACTATTTCTTCTGTCTCTGGGAAAAGTTTAATTTGTGCCACTCTTACCCTTCCTCTCTCTTCAGTTTTACATGTTCCTAATTTCTCTGTTAATCTTTTATCCTTGAGTCGTATTACTCAGAATTTGAATTGTAGTGTGACTTTTTTCCCTGATCATTGTCTTTTTCAGGACCTTATCACGAGGAGGACGATTGGCAGTGGTAAAGCAGAACATGGTCTCTATATCTTGGATCAGGCTGACAAGGTTGCACATCATTCTATCCAGTCTCCAACCACCAAGGACGATTTATGGTTGTGGCATCAACGTCTTGGTCATCCCTCTTTTTATCTGCTTCAACATTTATTTCCTTCTGTTTTTACCACAAATAATGTGTCTGACTTTCAATGTGAGTCTTGTCAACTTGGCAAACAAACACGAGCTTCTTTTGCTCATATTAATAAAAGCGTAGTTCCTTTTTCTTTAATACATTCTAATGTTTGGGGTCCATCTTGTGTTATGTCTTAAAAGGCCATAGATGGTTTGTCACGTTTATCGATGATTTTTCCCGTACTACTTGGGTGTATCTCATAAAAGAAAAGAGTGAGGTTTTCTCTGTGTTTCAAAATTTTCATAAAATACTTTGTACTCAATTTGGGGTTGTTGTCAAAATCTTACGTTCTGATAATGGGGGTGAATACATTGATTCGGGGTTAGAGAGATATTTTTCCACTCATGGCATTATCCATCAGACTTCTTGCACCAATACCCCGCAACAAAATGGGGTCGCGGAGCGCAAGAATCGTCATCTTCTTGACATGGCTCGGTGTATGTATTTTTCTATGGGCGTGCCTCGGTCCCATTGGGGCAAGGCCGTTCTCACCGCTGCCTATCTCATTAATCGTCTTCCTACTCTAGTATTGCATAAAAAGGCTCCTCTCCACGTTCTCTTAGGGTCCACGTCTCTGTTTTCCATTTCTCCAAAAATCTTTGGGTGTGTCTGTTTTGTTCACAATCATTCCCCTACTCGTGATAAGTTGGACCCTCGCTCTCTCAAGTGTGTTTTCCTCAGATACTCGCCTACTCAAAAGGGGTATAAGTGTTATCACCCTCATCGTAAGTGGTTTGTATCCATGGATGTCACATTCTTTGAGTCCCACTCCTACTTCTTGTCTTTTTCAGTGTCCCAGTCATCCCTTCAGGGAGAGCCTTGCTGTGAAAAGATTCTTGTTGTCCCTGTTGCTCCTATGGTGGAACCAATTGTTCCTGCACCACCTATTATTGGGACTATAAAATCCAATGCCACCAAGGATAAAGAAAGGCAAGTTTATATCAGGGACAAAGACAGACAGAAAATTATTTGAATACAAGAGACCACTTCTGCTCACCCACTACCATCTCCTGCTTCTAATAAGAGTCCAGGTAATTTT